TTAGCATGCCAGGGTACAAACAGAAGTATACAAAAGAACACTCAGAAGAAGTGACAGCTCAGCAAGGGAGGACTTGCTCTTGCAGAGGACCCAGGTTCAGTTCCCATCATTGGCAGCCCCCAGCAGAGGTCACTGCCCCAGCAACAACTCTCTTCATGGCATCTGGATGAAGAGAGTGTCGTCAGTCTTGAGGACAACATGGATACACTGAGGAGAGAGGTGGACCAAGCTCTTTGGGAAGGGAATTCACAGGGTAGTACATAAGAGAACACAGGCCTCAAACCCTGGTTCTGGAGCAGAAAGTAGGAGGACAGCTCTGGATACACTGGAAAGCTATGCATGCTGGCTGCTCAGCTACACCCTTCTATTGAGAGTATGAGGTTGAGCAAGTGACCATCCCTATTTGGAAAGAAGACTGGCAAGCCAAGCTCCTGAAGATTCACCCATACAGAATCTAAATGGCCATTCTGAATCCCTAGGATACCACAGTGGGCTCATGGGACTTGCTTACAAAGCCCGGATGCCTCTGCCAATTCTCACAGCACAATTGCTTTGTGTGTCGGGGGTGGGAGGTCATCAAGGGAAGCTTGCTTTATGTTTAGGGCTTAAATTATATTTCAAATGCATTCTTTTTAATACCAGAAAGTGAACCTAGACTGATGGAGCCTCAGAAAGTTGCTGTCCCCTGCCTTTGGCTCTGGAGTCATCCATCTACCCTGCAGAGGAAGGCAGGGAACTTCTCCTTGCTTGCTAAACTATGTGCCCTCTCCAGATGCATTCTTGGGGGCCTTAACAATGCAGGAAAGCGAAGCGTGAGCAGGAAAACTTACAGCAGGCACAGGTTCACACAGAGCACTCCAGGGAAAGGTGTCAGATAAGACAGAGCTGTTCATGGTCTTAATTAACCACTTAATCTGTTTCAACACCCGTAGCCAGACGCCCGAGGTTCCATGGTCAGGACCATCCATGGCCTGGTTATTGCTATAAAAGACACTGGATACAGACTCAAATAGACCTAAGCTTGGGTCCTTGCTCAGCACTGACTGTGTTTGGCCTTGGCTCATCTTCTCTCTAAGCACCAGACAACATCACTATTAGCAAACACAGGACATGAGGGAGAGGCACTGCTTGCCTGACTTTCTCTAGCATTTTCCCAGCCACAAGTAACCTTACGTCTGTAAGGTAGCCATGCAACAATCCAACCTCATAATGCCTTTGTAATGTTTTCGTAATCTGTTGTCTGAGATGAGGCCGGTTCTATGGAAACCTGTGCAACCACACTGAGTGTCCGCCAATGCCTGCAGCCTGATTTCCACTTCTTTTTCTTATGTTGAATCCTAGTGATAGCTAAACACTTTTGTCTTAAAAAAAAAAAAAAGCACAATGTCATGTGGCCTCATTGTTAGAAAAATATGTATGTTAAATATGCCAACAGTTTCTTCTATCCATAAATACACATAGCTGTGTCTAGAATAATGCTCACTCAAAATTGAATACTTAGAGATGGGCAGTGGTGGCGCATGCCTCTAATCCCAGCACTCGGGAGGTAGAGGCAGGCAGATCTCTGAGTTCCAGGAAAGGCTTCAAAGCTACGCAGACAAATCCTGTCTTGAAAAAACAAAATGAAACCAAAAAAAAAAAAAAAAAAGTGAATACTTTGAAGTGTTGAGTTAGGGATTTTTGTTTGTTTATTTGGTTAATTTACCTTTTCTAGTGTGTTTTTGAGTATAATTTTTCACATAAAAATGTTCTAAGAAAGAAAAAGAGACCCCCAAAGGCAGTGAGCTGTAATAAGTTTATTTTTGCAGAGAATGTTAATTCTTTTTAACTCTCTGCTTTTCTGCATTTTCCAGAGCTACTCATCTTTCGGAAGTCAGTTAATTGTGTCCTCCTGGTCTTTCATTGAACACCCTAGAAGGGACAGTTTGTGGCACTTTTTTCTGTATCTGTATTCACACCATCTTGACCTTACCCCATGACCACACGTTAATGGACTGATAGAATTGTCTTTTTTCCCTAACACTTTAAGAGCAGATATCATGTCTTTTTCTTAATGATAATGTATCATGAAGCAGTTCTTCCCAACATTAGATTAATACACAGGCTGAAGTTGACACACTGACATGTGGAAAGATGGTTCAGTGGTTAAGAGCACTGGCTGCTCTTCTGGAGGACTGGTGTTCGAGTCCCAGCTCCCACATGGTGGTTCACAATCATCTGTAACTCCAGTTCCAGGGGATCCAATGCCTTCTTCCAGCTGCTGGGGGCCGTGCACACACATGGTACACAGATATACATGCTAGTATAACATCCATCCTCATAAAATAAAAGTAAATAAATATTTTTTAAATGAAGTTATTTCACTGAACACACCCTACAGCCATACACAGTAATTGTCATCTGTTTTCTAAACTGAATCCCCTGTTTTTTCCAGGATTTATCAGGCTGCAAGGCACATAATTAAAGAGGAAATAAATTTTAAATCAAAACTCTTTTTTGTTGTTGATTTTTTTCTTTAGGTAGAGTCTCACAATGTAGACTAGGTTGTGCTCTAACTCACAGAGATCAGCCTGCCTCTGCCTTTCTAGCTCTGGGATTAAAGGCATATGTCACCACACCCAGCCAAATGCATTTTTTATTAAAAATTTCTCATAAAATATATTTTGATCTTGTTTTTCCCTCCCCCAATCAAAATTCCATTTTCTTTTCCTATCATCAGTGTCCTCTCCTACCTTCCCCTGAAACTCTTTATTCCCTCCTGAACAATGGACCCTTTCTAGTCTCCTAGATCCTATGGTGCTCCAAGACAAACACACAAATCTAAAGATTCAATGTGGAGATCCATATAGGAACCTAAATGTGATATCTGTCTTTCTGGAGCTGAGTTCCCTCACTCAGTGTAATGGAGTTTCCCGCTCCATCTACTTAGCTGCAAATCTCATGGCTTCATTTGTATTCACAGTTGTATAAAGTTCTACTGTATATATACCCCACATTTTCATTAACCATTCGCCAGTTAATGGACATCTGAGCTGTTTCCATGTCCTAACTATTGTGAATAGAGCAGCTGTGAATATGGGTGGCTGTGTGTCTCTGTAGAAGAAATTAGAGTCCTTTGGTATGTATCCAGCAGTACTAAAGCTGGGTCATCATTAAACACAATCTCACTGCTCCTGGGTAGTATGGAGACCCTTATTGCCAGAATCCCGGAGTTCTTTGAGCATACCTCTGTTATACACAACTGTTCTTAGAGTAGTCTCACTAGAGGCTTTCCCAGCTACGCCATAAGTTCCCTGAAGTCAAGTACAGTGTTATTTTACCCAAGTGTCCCTGAATCTAGTAGTGTCCATAAGAGCAGTTCTCAAATTTTGGGTCATGACCCCTTTGAGTGTCTGTCTTAGTTAGGGCTTCTGTTGCTGTGAAGAGACACCATGACCACAGCAACTCTTATAAAGGAAAATATTTAATTGAGGTGGCAGCTTACAGTTTTGAAGATCCAGTCCATTATCATCATGGTGGGGAGCATGGCGGTGTGCAGGCAGAGATGGCGCTGGCTGCATCTTGATCAGAAGACAACAGGAAGGACTGTCGCTGGGCAGTATCTTGCACCCACCCCCACAGTGACACACCTCCTAATAGTTCTACTCCCTATGAGCTTATGGGGGCCAATTACATTCAAACTACCACAGGGTCCTATATCGGATACCCTGCATATCAGTTATTTACATTATAATTCATAACAGAACAGGAGCAAAATTACAGTTATGAAGTAGCAATGAAAGAATTTTTTCTCCGTGTAGTTTTGATGCCTGCTTTAGATCTTGCTCTGTAGACCAGGCTGGCCTCGAACTCACTGAGATCTGCCTGGCTCTGCCTCCAGAGTGCTGGGATTAAAGGTGTGCACCACCGCCGCCTAGCACATTGAAATAATTTTATGTTCGGGAGTTACCACAACATGAGGAACTGTATTAAAGGGTCACAGCATTAGGAAGGTTGAAAATCACTGGTCCGGATTATATTAGAAATTGTGTGTGTGTGTGTGTGTGTGTGTGTGTGTGTGTGTGTGTGTGCATTAGGTAATTGGATGTTCAGTTTCTTTTGGCCTGAAAGATTTCTGTGGACTGGGGGTGGACATAGTGTGAATGTGCATACATTTCTCAGGCACAGTTAGATCTGTGATGGCTAGTCTTGGTAGAGCAGGGAACCTCAGCTGAAGAATTGTCGCTAGCATATCAATCTGTGAGCACATCTGTGGGGCCTTGTCTTGATTGCTAATTGATGTTGGAGGGTCCGGCCCAGTGTGGGAGGTTCCATCCCTAGGCAGGTGAGCCTGCAGAACATGAGCCTGGGTGGGATCCAGTGCAGTGTTCTTTCCGTGGTTCCTGCCCCTGCTACTGCTGGAGTTCCTGCCCTGACTTCCTTCACTGATGGGTAGTGGCCTGGAAGGGTAAGCCAAATATTACCCCCACACACTTTGTCTTTGGGTGGAGTGGTTTATCACACAACAGAAAGCAAACTAGAATAATGTTTTTTTTAGGAAATATAAAGAATGGATATAAAGAATAGGTGTGCTGGAGAGCTACCATGAGCCAGATACTTGACATGTGTAGTGGATATCATATTCTTTCTTTTTTTTCTTTCTTTTTTTGGGGTGGGGTAAGGACCTGGATTTAATCTGAGAAAAATTTCCATGTAGATGAATCAGTTACTTCCAAGAAATATGCACAAAATAAACATGCACATGGGTCATTTCACTCCAGCCACAGTCTTGAAAGCCAGGAAAGAGACCCAGGCTTCCATCTTCCCACCTTGCATGTTCTCCAATGACAGTGAAGGAATGAAGTAAGGTCTTCAGTACTCCCCTCCTGCACAGATGGATATTAAATGGTGTCCCTTTAAGCTATCAGGACGGCTGAATGGGGAAGGTTTGGGGCTCTGCCTCACCTTTATGAGTGTCTTGTCATAATTTTTAGAAGAGATATCATATTCTTATTTTACAGACACACTGCCTAATCTGAAATGACAAAGAAATTTGACCTGACCCAGGGAGAAGGCAAGGTGAGTTTGAAACCCTCAGACAGATCAAATATGGAGCCAAAAACTCACATCACACAATCTCACAGGATAAACTGACTTAGCCTTCTCCTTCAGGATTCCACAGCTATAACGCACAGAACACTGGAGAACTGGACACAACTCATTGACCATGAGATCTCGTTTCATCCAATAGCTTGTTTTAGGTCTCTGTGTTCTCATGCATTAAAAAAAGTAACAAAATAAAAGAAATGGCTCTTACACAGAGCTGTTGGGAAGTCGGGTGCAATCAGGTGACTTTGATCTGGACAGTATCAAGGCATGAAAGGGGGCCATACAGTTGCCATGAAGTTACGGAGGATGGCTGCATTCTTCAGAAATGGGGTGCAGGCAATGGAGAAGAATATGTGTTACCATTGCCTTGGTTGAGGGATGTGAGGCTAGGTAATGCTATTAGGAGACATCTCACTTTATGTGGTGAATTGGCTCAGTTTGGAAAACAGAGCCCTGTGTTTTGTGGGAGAAAATGGGAGGAAGAAGCCATGGCATGGCTAAGGCACAACCTCGGTTCTTGCTAAAAACAAGGTAATGGGGAAGAAATGGAGAGCCCTGAAATGTAAAGTCACTGGAGACAAAGACTAAACTGCCTTCAAGCATGCAGCTGCTCATAGTCCAAGAAGTGTTCCACCCATGCTCCCTCATCTTCACGAACCTGAGAAGAAGCTGGACGGGGACCCAGCCTTACTTGACAGAGGTAGACACTACCATGCTATGATTCGAATGGGAAATGTCCCCGCAAGCTCATGTGATTGAACACTTGGTCCCCGGGTGATGGTGCTCCTTAGAAGAGGCTATCTAAACTTTTGGAGGTGGGTTATAACAGGAGGGACTTCTGGGGTTGGGGTGGGTGCTGGATAAGAGAGTTATAGCGTATGCTGGAGTCTAGTTCCAGACTCCCTCTGCCTCCTGATCCACTCAGATGTGGGCCAACGCCACACACACACCACACTCTCGGGCAGCTCTACATTCCCTGCAACAGTGAGCTGAAGTAGATCCTCCCTCTCTTGAGTTGCTTCTCTTGGGTGTTTTATTGCAGCAACGAGAGATGCGGCTAGGACACTGCAAGACACAAGAAAAGCTGTGGGGCATTTAACCACCAACCCCACAGCTCCCCAGAGTTTTCTTGAGTGTGAGCAGCAGGAAATATTAGATAGAAGAATTTATTGCAGAGAATATTGCAGAGATAAACAGATAGAAAATAAAGGACAGCCTTGAGAGGGCCTGGAACCTATTCCAACTGCCCCCGACTGTTTCTGCCCCAAGGTATTTACAGAGATGCCAAGGGGTGGAGCAAAAGACCTCCTCCCCCAGCACAGCCAAGTGCAGACCATCTCAGACACCTGCACTCAGGCCTGTGGTCTTAATCATCCTCTATGCGGACCTGCTGGGTAAAGCCACGAGGAACCCGAAAACTGGCTCCCACAAAAAGCTCACTTGGACACAGTGCAGCAGAGGCCCACCAGCGCAGCTAGAGTGGGAGCCCAGGTTTGTCCATTGGTTTTCACTTTAAATTCAGTGTTCTTTCTTCAGTCTCAAACTAAAGGAGAAGAACTCATCCTTTTACTTAGTGGATACTGGTTTTTGAAGATTTTTATCTTTAGTTTTAATTATGTGTATTTGTGTTTAGGCACCTAAGTGCGGCAGAGGGCAACAAGAAAGTGTTGAATCCCTGGACTGGAGCTATGGACAGTTGTGATCAGTCCAAACGTGGATGCTAAGGACTCAAACTCTGTCCCACTTGGAAGAGCAGTTTCCAGTAAGCTAGTACCGAAAGTAAGTTAAGATAACCACTGAGCATCCCATCTCTCCAGCCCGGAGTGGAGACTTTAGTAACTCAGTTTGCCTGGTGCAGGAGGAATTTCATTTCAGACCAAGACTGTCTAAGCCCAGAGTCTGCATTTGGCCACAGGGTAGTGCTAACCTTCTGCTCTGCTAAGGACAAAACTAGTCTGACCAGGGAAGGGGCTGTCATAGCAGTGAGAGTTTTGGACTTTCCAGCCACAGAGCAGGAGCGTCCTGTCCCCCACCCCCACATCTCAGTAGTCCTGACCTCTAGCAGGCTGAAGGGATGCCTCCTCCGGAAGCCCCAACATCCTGCATTCTGCTAAACCCCCAACCCATTCGGCAGCCTGTCCCAGGCGAAACACGCACAGCCTGAGCTGACAGGCTGGGGAGGAATTACCGGCCTCTGGGCTAGAAATAGCCCTCCGAGAAGTGTGCAGTGGCTACGTGTCCACAGGGTGGAGAGGAGGCGAGGAGTCCCAGGACCCCAAGATAACATGAGTCCGGATATGTAGCGTCCTGAACATGGGTAGGCTAACTCAGGTCACCGGTTCCAAAGAGGTGAGTGGGAACCAGGATATCTGCTCCCCTACGTGGACTTCGTGACAGGCCCAGGCATCCTGAAGGGGGGAGGCTGGGTCCCGTGGGTGGGCCTCTGAGCACTAATCTGATGAGATAGCTGGTGTGAGCACAACACACACACACACACACACACACACACACACACACACACACACACACACGGTTCCTCTGCAGTCCCAGCTTCTTTTGTTGCCTCCCTACACAGTTCCCAGTCTTGGATGTATGTGTGTCTTTCCTGGTTTTGGACAAGGGAACAGAGGGGGAATACAGGAGGGGAGTGCAGTCTGGCAGCGTCCTTGAGGACTGGTCACCCGGGGCTCCAGCCTCCGCCCCCTCCTCCCCCTGAAAAAGGCATCCAAAGTTCACCCAAAGAGACCTTGTCCCCAGTGCATTGAATCTCCCTGTCTCTCCTGTCATTGTCATCTGCATGCGTGGAGTGGCCCTGGTGGCTTCAACGCTGGAGACACATGAGTAAACAAACACTCTCCTCCCCAAGTTGCTTTGGGCCGTGGTGTTTATTACAGCAACAGAGAAGTAAGCTAGGAAGTGGATGCCACCAATTGATGAACGGGGCAACAGAAGGGATGGGAGACAGGATAAATTCCCAGAGCGCTGGAGTGGGTGAAGCCCTGGGAAGGGTTCCATCCACCACCCTCCCCGTGCTGACCCATGGGGAAGCGAGTGCAGAGACCAGAAGTGATCTGTGTAGGATTACACCCCGTGTTTAAGGGAAACGAGGCCAATGCTGACAGGAAAGCCAACACACATGACAGGGTTTGGTGAGTGATTTATTCGTGTCTTATATTAAAGAAATGGGAGGTACATGGCGAATATATGCGGTTGTAACTGTTAAAAAGAAGATGCATTTGGGCTTGGTGGTATATGGAATCCCAGCACTAAGTAGGCTGAGGCAAGAGGGTTGTGTATTTGAAGCTAGACATGGTGAGTTCAAAGCCAAGCTCTTACCAACAAGACTTTGGGGGAAAGAGGAAGAAGAGAAAGAGAAGGAGAAGGAGGAGGAGAAATTCATATTGACCTGGAATGATGGTCAAAACACACTTTAGCGTGGACAAAGTGTGCTTATACCAAATATAGTACATACTTAATGTTGGCTTTTAAATGTGTATGAATGAATATATATTTATTTATAACACATGATATATGTAATTATATATAGATATATGTCATTGTCCTCTAGGTCCTGATTTACTTTTAATAACATCTCCAGAAACTATGGGAGAATTTTCGCCTTCTATTTCAGAGTTTTTTCATTGGTTTGCTTTTTAATAAATCCTGACTGAAAATGGTGCATTTTTTTTTTCATTTCCTTTAGATCTCTACAATAGAGAATACATGTATCTGGAGCCAGGAAGCTGCTGGGAAAGTCCCCACAAACACTCCCCAGCCCAGCTCACAGGGCTGTACTGGACATAAACAGATGATCAATAACTAGACATGGTCAGTGAGAAGCATTGGAAAATGCACAGTGTTTTCCAGCTGGTGAACTGCAGGCGCCTTGGTGCTCCAGACTGTGCCCTTCATTTGCAGGCCTCTCTCAAAGTGTTGACCGACACATTAAGAGCAGATCCGTTTGGTTAGAAAGAGCCACGTCTTGGATTGGTTTAGCTGGTTAGTGTTTTGTGGAATTGGAGATGAGACTCCGGCTCTCGCACATGCAAAGCACGTGCATTGCTACTGAGCTGCCCCCTGGCACAAGAAGCATGAATTGACTGTCAAGTGGACTAGACACATGAATGGCCTCTTCAGGAAGGTCATGGCCTCTCCCTTGAGAACTTCAAGGACCCAAAGAACAAGCATTTGTCCAGGATGGTGTGATTGTCCATCTGCCTGGATTCAGGGACTGTGTGCGTGTGTACCACTGGAACAGTGAGACACCATGAGGCCTCTGATGGAAAACAACCACATGACACACAGGGAGCTATCAAGTCCTATCACCAGTGGACGGGACCTTTTAAAACAGAAAAGAAGGCGAGAGCCACTGTGGACCACCTCCTCTATCTCTCAGGATTTTACTTCATCCTGATTCTTCCAGCATCTTCTGTCATAGCCTACTGGTGGTCAAGCCAATGCTGTCATCTTTTAAATTGTTATAAAGTCTTTACATTGAGAAAAGGGGCCCCCATCTGAGAAAAACAAGTGAAAGGTGAAGGGAGGAGAGGACCAAAAGGGAGTCCCATCATAGGAGACTGTTTGGAAGGAGTCTGGTGGAAGATCCGCCTCAACTCCCCTCCCCTATCTCTTTCCCTAAAACCCTTTTAAAGTCCTCCAAACACAGCTCTGCCCCCAGAGAGGCTCAAGACCACTCCCACAGGGTATAAAAGCTGCATCCCAGAGAACAGACACGTGGTTCTTCCTGCCAAGAAGCCCCATCTCCTCTCTGAGGGGCCGGGAAATCACCGGGGAACGCTTTACCCATTAAACCTGGGCTTTTCCTGATTCGGTCTGATTTCCTGCGTCAGCAGAGAGGCCTTCAGGGTGCAAAAGACTTATCAGAGGCGTCTTAGTTAGGGTTCCTATTGCTGTGATAAAAACCGGTGACTTGGGGAGGAAAGAGCTTTCCTCCTACACTGTCACATCACAGCCCATCGTCAAGTGAAGTCAGAGCAGCAACCCAAGCAAGGCATCTGGAGGCGGGCACTGAAGCTGAGGCCGGGGACTGCCCTGCTCCTCAGGACTTGCTGAGTCTACTTTCCTACACAACCCAGGACCACCTGCCCAGGACCATTACCCACCTGTCGGCTGGACTCTCCCCCATCAGTCATTCAGTGACTCGCCTACAGGCAAGTCACTGATGGAGGCGTTTTCTCAACTGAAGTTCTTCTTCCCAAATAACTAGAACTTGTGTCAAGTAAACATCCTACTCATTTGTTTTGTGACTATGACAATGGGTTTTGGGTGTGATAGTTTCTGACCTGGCAGGAAAACTTGAGATTTCTGCATTTACATATTTTAAATTGTTTTGATAGGGTTTTATTTTTTTCATAAGTTATTTCTAACTCTTCATCATTTGGATTACCTGGGCTCACATGAAGTCAGTCAGAGCCACACTGTACTGAATTACCATGGCAGTTTAGTTGTGGCTGGCAGTTTTCTACTGTTCTTGGGGCTGCGACGGCTTTTTTTCCCGTTTGCTGCCAAAATCTGTGTCATTAGAGCTGATGTGGCTAGAACAGCAGGAGTGAATTGTTCGTTTACTAATTTTCATCCTCATTTAAAAATGTCTCTTGTCAGGCTGGAGCGGTGGCTCAGCAGTTCAGAATACTTGCTGCTCTTGCAAAGGACCCAGGTTCAGTTCCCAGTGTCCACATCAGGCAGCCCACAACTGCCTGTAACTTGAAATCCAGGGGTTATGACACCCTCGTTTGGCCTCCACAGACACTTGCATGTACATGGTACATATTCATACACCCAGGTATTTATAGGACATATAAAATAAAAACAAACCTTTTTTAAAGTTTAATGTTAAAAATACTTCAAATAAGCACGATTGATTAAAACAATTAAGGAGATCCTCATTGTCTCTATCCATACTTGAAGCCTGGATCTGTGAGTATAATGGTAGAGACTTCACCAAAGGCCTCCACACAGCTCCCCAGCAAAGGCTTCGGGGCAGGATAGAGATGGGACCAGCCCTTCTGCCACATCCAGGCATCCACTGGAAATCAACATCTGGCACATCCTAAAAAACACAAACTGAGGTTCCTGCTCACATCTGGTGTCTGTGCTTCACTTTGAGCTCAGGAGCTCACACTGGTTCTCAGATTCTCAACTGTGACAGTGTAGTGCCCTCTAGATGCAAGGACTCCAAACCAACATGCCTGAAGGGCTGCTCCCAAGGCTCACCTGAGGAGCCTTAGAGACCACCCTCCAGGCTCCAGGGAAAGGCTGTGTGCCTGCACACTGACACCAGCCAGATGCATCTGAATCTGCAGTTCAGTGAGGCATTCTAGAAGGCAGTGGGATGTGGAGCAAGCCTGTAAAGGGAGTCTTGGTTTCTATGTGCTAAATCTAATGCCAGGGCTCAGCTCACAGCCCATTTGTTGATAAACACTTGAATATCAGAATATTCCAAGTCCTTTTGAACAAAGCACAGATGGTGGATCTTCCCATCCTGACCCCTTCTGGTTCATCAGAGGTAAAACGAGATCAATCCTAGGATGTTTGGGTTTTGAAGTTCTTCTGGGAATTCCACAGGGTCCTCCAGCTGGAAGTGCACCCAGGAGCTGGAAATGTTGCTTCCACCCTGTTGCAATGAACAAAATTTCATCTGCGTTCTCAACATTTCCACACTGCAAAATGCAAAGAACTATTTGGAGAGCCTTGCATCTTTCATAACTCTTGTCAAGTGAGGAACGTGTCTCTCACACCCTGCAGAAACAAGGCTCCTGCCTTCAGATCCCGCTGCTAAGTGTCCAGAGCCTCTCTCTGAAGGAAAATCTGTGGACACCACTTCCTCATAAGACAAGTGAAAAAATCAGGAGCTCTGTTCCCATAGTCTCTCCAGGAACCCCGTCAGCGATGGTGGGTGACAGCCTTTTCTGTCACTCCTGCAAAGTTTATTCAGCTCTCCCCTTCCTTCTGAGCTAGACCACTGCATCATTCCTCTGATGGCCTTGCTTGTGTGAATGCCCTTAGCATTTCTTCCACATCTTGCTAATTTGGCACTCCTGCAGAGTCTGGAAGTGAGCAAAGCCTTTCTCAGTGGTATGGGAAGCCCTAAAGAATATTTGTTCTGTTCTTTATTCCTGAAACTCCCTCCTCTCATCTCTCTTCTCAGAGAAGACTCTCAGTAGCCATGAACTGGCTCACAGGAACTTCCCAGACCTTTACCATTCTTAACCGGAAAAGGAAACGTGGGATTTCCAAACAGCAAATGTTTCTGAGAAATTGGCATTTCTGTTCTGAAAGAGAACTATTCCTTCAGTTAGCTAAGGCGGTCTACTATATGTATGAACTATTTTTGTGGCTACTACTATTATTTTTATTGAAGTTTTCTTTTTAAGTTTTTCTTTATTTTTAATGATCTGATGCACGTATGTATTGAGTTATGATCATATCTACCCCATCATCCCCCTCAAGCTCCCCTTATCTCTCTCAACACCTCTCAAGTTAATATCCTATCTCTTCCCTTGATAACTCATCAAGTGCAGTTAGTGTTGCCCTTATGTGTGTGGATGGATGTAGGACCATCCACTGGACATGGGAAACCTACCAGTGACCACACCTGGAAAAAACAAAACAAAAAAAAAAAAAACCTGTCTTTCCCCCAGCAACAGTTTCCTGCCAACAGCTCCTCAGTAAGAGGTGAGGCCTGGAAATCTATCCCTTCTCTGCTGGGGTTTGGCTGGTTTGACCTTGGACAGGCAACCACAGTTGCTATGAGCTTGTGAGAGCCATAGCTGTGTCTGGTCTAGAAGACAGCATTTCACAGTACTCCTCCCCGTCCTCCAGCTCTTGAATTCTCCCCACCTTCTCTTCTGTGAAGTTCTCTGTGCCTTCGTGGGTGTGGGTGTTCATGTAGATGTCCAGTGTAGGGCTGAGCACCCAGTCTCTTGTTCTCAGCACGTCAAACAATTGAGAGTCTCTGCACCAGCTGCTGCCCACTGCAGAGTGAAGCTTCTCTAACCAACTCCGAGAACAACCCAAGTCTGATAGCGCCAGGAGCTGGAGGCATTTATTAGGCTTTTGAGACAGGATCTCGTGTAGCCCAGGCTGGCCTCCAACTTCTACATCGCTGATAATGACCTTCAACTCCTGGTCCTCCTGCCTGTATTTCCAAAACACTGGGAACACGGGTGTGTGCACCACTCTCCCTTGTGATCATTATTAAATAAGACTCAGACATAAATGTTAGGCAACTTCTACCAACCTTGGAGCGACAAGCACATATTCCCTAAAGATGTGTCCTGGGAGGAAGCTTGGTTTACTAGAGAAAAAGTGATCTCTTCAAACCTGTTCTTTCTCACCAAGGGTGGGTTCCATAACTCTGGCTCTATGGGCTGTGGGAGTTTATGCATCGTCCAAAGGGCTTAGGAGACCCAGAGTCCAGTCTGCTCATCACTGCTCTTTTTGTGCATTGGCCATTTGTATTTGGTCACGTTACTTAGACCCTTCCCATACATGGTTTCCTTATGTATATAAAGTTAATGGCTGCCTCCTTGCAGGGTTACTAGATGAGCCAGTACAACGAAAAGCAAGCAGGAGATTAAGTGGGCTGGTGGTCTCTCAGTGAGCATAAGTTGTGGCTACGGTTCTTCCTGGAGAAGCATCTGGGGCATTGGTAAACCTTGTTCTAGCTCTACCAGGTATTGCTTTGTGACTTCGGAAAGACACATTCCAGCTCTTGGTTTCTTCATGTATAACATTAAAATACTGAAGCTGGGAAGATAGTGCCATTGGCAAAACACTTGCCACAAAAGCATGAGGACCTTCATTTGATGACTAGGACCTACTTATAGGCTTGTAATCTCACTGCTGGGGGAGGAGAAGCAGGAGGGTCCGGGGGCCTTGCTGGCCAACCAGCTTAGTGTAGTTGGCAAATACTAGGTCCCCATCAGAGACCCTGTCTCAAAACAATCAGGTAGCCAGCTCCTAAGAAATACCTCTGAGGGTGCTGCTGCACACACACACACACACACACACACACACACACACACACAGCAACACACCCACGGCAACACACCCACTTACACATTTTCAAAAAAAAATTGAGGGCCAGCTATGGTGAACATGTCTTTAATCCCAGCAATCAGAAGATAGAAGCAGATAGATCTCTGTGAGTTTGAGGCCAGCCAGCACTATGTACTGAAACTCTGTCTTAGTAAATAAAGAAATTAATAATAAATACATATATAAAAAATACTAATAGCCTGGTGTGCGTGTCTTACAGAGTTGCAGTGGAGTTCAGAGAACTAGCCAATGAGAAAATGCTCTGTAAACTACTCAAGCCTGGACCCAACTAGAGGTGGGATCGGCATCTCCGCTCGCCTCAACCAGAGCTTCACACCATGGCTACCTGCCTTTACCTGCTTCCTCAGCCGGACTGGTCCCATCGGGCTCTCTCTTACATCAACTTTGATGGCTCGTGGTATACCTATCCATGGTAGGGACTCAGTAAACTGAGACACTGAGTGAGCAGCACCCCCCTTGTGGTCATGTCTTCCTGGTGTGTGTTGCAGCAGCCTGCCCTCCAATGGACTGTATGTGTTAGTCCTAACAACCCCCCGCCCCCCATCAGATGCACCTCCACAGAGGGTGTGCGGAGAGCAGTTTCTGCACTGAGGCATCATCCATCCACTCACACAACAAGGTCCCAGTGTGCAGACCCCGGCTGTGGAGATGCCCTGTCCTGCAGCTCCTGGATGCTTCCTGCCCTCTGACCCCTCTGCTCAGCCAGCGGTGTCCTTCAAATCCTCCGAATGAGTCTCCTTCCTATCGGCAAAGCCATAATTGCCAGTTTGGTTCCCTGCATCACCCAAACGAGGGAAACTGAGAAGCCAGACCTTGCCATTTTTGCTGACCTCAAGACCTTGTTTCCTTTCTTCTTGTCTTGAAGTCTTTGCAAATGGGAATGGGGGGTGGGGTGGGGGGTGCTGAGCTCTTGCCTCTACCTCACATGCCCTTCCTGAGGTGTGTGTGTGGAGGGTCTCATTTGTCTGGTGGCGTCATATATCTCTGTATCTCAGGACACCTGCCTAATGCAGCAGCCAGGAGTAGCTCTGGGCACATACTTGGAGGTAAAAGGCCCGAGCAAACCAAAACGCGAACGCTGAAGGGAGAGGAGGGCTGAGGAGGCGGGTGACTGATGTGTTGCTATTTTTTTTTTAAAGGCTGTTGGCTGCCTTCACATTTCCTGATGGAAGTGGGACAGGTCAACGGATGACCCACGGTCATAGATAACTTTTGCCCACGCTTTATTCACTTTTGGGAGCACTGGCTTGGAACTGAGGGGTGTGTGCGTGCGTGTATGTGTGTATGTGTGTGCCTGGAACCGACGTGCCTTCCGCAAGCCTAAGAAGTCTGGGCTTTTTCTTCGAATGGGTGATTACAACACAGAGGATGTGGCAGCATTGTTTTTCCTGTTTGATGTCATACCACCACCCTTTAAAAGTCCCAGGGCAAAAAGGAGGGAATTTAGCCCTGGCTCCCCACCTCAGTTCTCAGCTTCTTCCTAGGAAGAGAGGAAGGCCAGCAAGGTCCCGGCCTGTCTGGGAGTATCAGATTTCAAGCTCAGCATTAGCCACTCAGAGAGCAGTGCCATGCTGGGGACCTGCCTCAGACTCCTGGTGGGTGCTCTGTGGAGCGCCAGCAGCTGGGGCACTGTTAGAGCCTACCTGGACACCTCCCCACTGCTTGGCTCCAGCTGGGGCAGCCTGACCCATCTGTATACGGCTACAGCCAGGAACAGTTATCACCTCCAGATCCACAAGGATGGCCATGTAGATGGCACACCCCATCAGACCATCTACAGTGAGTACTGGCTCCAGGTTGGGAAGAGGGAATACGCCCTGTTGTTGACCTCCAGGGGTGCTGAGGAGGCTTGGGCTAGATAAGAGGGAGAACCTGAATTTCCAGCCTCTTGTGTGCTTGTCTCTCTCTCTCTCTCTCTCTCTCTCTCTCTCTCTCTCTCTCTCTCTCTCTTCTTTCTCTCAGAGAGAGAGAAAGAGAAAGAGAGATGAACCTAAGAGGAAGATTTTTTTCCTTCTCCTTAATTGGACCTACAGGTTTTTCTCAACCTGAATAATCATTGCCATAAGCCATTTCCAATAACGAGAGACAATTTTCTTTCCTTCTGTCCAAGAATTGGAGGGAAAATGGACAGAAAGACAGACTCAAAGAGGAGAATAACCCAGACCAAACCACAGATGATGAAATTTAACTGGGGGAAACAGTGGGGGAGATTCTCGGATCCCAAGATTTAGAATAAACGAAATAAGGGGTTCTTTTCAACTCCAGATTCCTAGTATTCTGGCTTTGTAAAAATTCTCAAGAGCTGGGCACACCCTTAATACAATACAAGGCCAGCCTGGTATACATAGCGAGCTCCACGCTAGTCAGGGCTATGCAGTGAGACTCTGTCTCAAAACAGAACAAAACCTTCTCAAGAGACATGTGTTAAAGACAGACCACCAGGCTACCAGGATGTGTTGTGTTGGCAAGTCTGACTGAATGCATCTACCCAACAGGTATGCTGGGTGTGCTTCTGAGGCTCCCTGTAGGAGTTGGTGCTCTCTGAGGAGCTGAAATGTGTTTAGTTGCTAACAAACTGAACTGGTTGTGAACTCCCTGGTGCTGTGAGACACCTGGAATATTCTTACAGTTGGATTCTATGGAAAATTGGATAGCAAGCCATAACTGCCAATCAATTAAATGTATTCAAATGAGAGCCCTTTCCAGCATAAGGGATAATACATAGAAAATAGAGATGAGAGAGGTGGGTAGTGGAAAACACAGTTTCTATTTTAGTGGGTGTGTAAAAGGTATTCTAAGTAGGACTGGAGAGGTGGCTCAGCAGCTAGGAGCACTTGCTGCTCTTGCAGAGGACCCACGTTCAGTCCAGCACCAAGCAGTGGCTTCCAGTGGTCCATAGCTCCAGTTCCAGGAGATCCAATGCCCTCTTCTGACCTCCGATGGCATTGCACAAATGTGGTGCACAGACATCCATGCAGACAAGACAGCCATAAACATGAAGTAAAAACCCAAATCTACAAAGTTACTGGAAGAGTGTGCAGAAGAGGCAACTGGGTTCAGTGCCATGTAGAGCATCTGCATTTTCATTTCACTAAAGAGCTGTCTATGGGGATTCTGATTTCTTTGCTGTTGTAACAGGTGAACCCAGTTTTCTGGATGTGGCCCTTGCTACATGCATGACATTCTCTCTGCTATGACCTTAAACCACATACAGTCACGTACAAAGCCAGCAGCTTATACCTGTCCAAGGGCTACACTGACAGGAGATGTGAGGAGGAGAGAGGCTCTCTCCAAATACCAAGCATCCTCCAGAACTCAAGGGGAGAAAGTAGGATGCTGGAGTTACCTCTTGGAAGTGAGGGTTGGGCCAGATGGGGAGAATCCGAAATAAATCTGGGTACACTTCATGGGTCCCCAGCCCTGCTTGTGTTCTGTGGAAGGGGACAAGGTGCCTGACACCACACACCCCTCTGTCACTGGAAAAGTGACACAGTTCTTCATAGACCTCTTATCTCCCAGCACATTATCAATCTTGTAGGAAACGCCATTGCATTCCTCCCATGGAAGACTGTCTGACTTCCGCTGCAAGACCACATGTCATTTCAAACGCTGGACAGTGGATAAGGGGAAACTATTTTGGTTTTAGAGATTGGAAATTTGCTTATAATTAGAGAATACATATGGAACATTCCTAGAATCATAGAATCCCTTTGCTGAAAGGCAGCCTCTCTGCAGAGACCAAGAAGTCAGTCTGGAACAGTCCGGGCCAAGTGTGGGGAGGATGTATGAGGTCAGCCTGCTTTGAAAGTCTGAATGGCAGGCCTTTTTCCCTGGGTGCTGACAGACACGGGGCTGGAGGATGCAAAGAATGTGGCTGAGGAACGGTAAAGTGAACTGACCTGACTTTAGCTTTTGTGTGTGGTTTTTATCTTGTGTAAGCTTTGCCTGTGGGGGAGGGGAGTAACATTGAAGCCAAAGCACTACTCAGTTAACAGTGCATTTCCTTATCTTGTTCTTATCTTTACATATTATTAGTGTAATCTCCCCCCCCATTACATATTCACAGCAGAGCTTGGTTCTGTTATGATCTCATTTGTCTATTTTATTTCATATGTACACAGCCTTGTTTGCATGTATGTCTGTACACCACATGCATGCAGTGCCGCTGGAGGTCAGAACATCTCATTACATCTTCACGATGACAAAATGAGGCAAAAGTTCTCATGTTAAAGTTTTGCTTTATTGAGTTCTTGGTTAAGAGTGGAGTGTCCAACTCCTGTTCAGGTCATTGGTCTTAACAAGATGGAATGCTCTGCCCCCCCCCCCCAAGATGCCCAAGCTCCCTTGAACTCAGAAGGCTCTTGGGGCCTCTCCAGGGTTGGTAAGCTTTTTCTAATATAAACAAGGCCAGCTTCCCACTCCCCATTGTGCTCACTTTTGGAAATGGCAGAAAAGAGTTGCATATTATCACCCTTGCTTAATAGTCCATTCTTTTCTTTTGGTGTGTGGCTTAGCATGTACTTGGCCAAGTGAACTTTTCTGCTGGCTTCTGTTGGTTTCATTCAAAAGCTCATTAAAGCCAGGTGGCAGTGGCGCACACCTTTGATCCCAGCACTTGGGATGCAGAGCCAAAGCATATCTCTGTGAGTTCAAGGCCAGCCTGGTCTACAGAGCAAGATCCAGGACAGGCACCAAAACTACACAGAGAAACCCTGTTCAAAGGTGCCTATCCCTGGTAGCCACTCAGTTACTCTGCAGGGTGTTTTCTATTAGCACTGGCCCTAGAGTGAGGGCATGTATACTGTGCTCACTGCCTGCAATCATCAGACAGGCTGGCAAGACGTCAGGGTGAGGAAGTGGTCAGCTGTCAAGTCATTTTTGCAGCCATTATCCCGTTTGATTGGTGGTAACCCTAGAAAGCAGGCAGGAACCGCCACGCTGTGCCCACCGAGACCGCTCCTGAGACTGGGGCTGCAGCAGTGGAATTCCCAAGGCTACGAGTTTCTTAAGGAGCCAGACTGGGACCAGCCTCCCTCATG